TGAATCTATTAGCACCTGGGGGACTCTCCGTAACAGAAAATTCAGATCCATTAGGCGGGTACCCGGCTGAGTCAGTCTGAGATATTTGTAACGTGATACCAAGAAGGATGTGGTTGTCATCCGCAATGCTGTTTCGAAGCGAAGTTGGAGACTTATAGGATACCCTTCTATATCGTTGTGTTGTACAAGTTAATGGCCTTGAGCTGCGATGTGCTTTCTATGGACAACGTATATGTACCGGTCATCCTTTTTTATTTTTACGAGATGAGTGGATTGCCGTCTATAATCGTATTCTCATGCATAGTAAATTAATACTGCTTGCATGGAAGCAGTGGTAGGCATTTATATAGTCACGCCGTTGTTTAAGGTAATTCTGATCACTAGTATTATCGGAAACTGCGGCCCAAGATCTAGGAAAGCTGTTGCCTTTACGATCACAGCGCGTCTGGATGAGAATTATGCGTCTTGAATATAAGTGACCAAATGAACGATCCAATCTTTCTCGGAGTTGGGAAAATTGATATACGGAACCCAAGCGAGTGACTAGCTTTACGGTGTGGCAGTCACTTTAGTAAAACGATAGAAACCAGTAAAATTATACGAAAATGAATCCGAGTTTCCGAACATAGCTAGTATCATTGAAGTCTTCGAGTTCTTTTCTCATTTTTGTCTCAGATAAATTCATATGTCACTTTCACACTATCAAGTTATACGGAAGGCAAACATAGTGCGCTTTCATACATCCACTTCTATGTCAACTTTTCTTTTCTTTTTGACACACTCTGTTTAACTTATTACAGGAATCTGTTTATATACTCGCCTATACAATGTATCCACCTCCACTAAATAGTATGTGCCCGGAAACAAACCCCCGGGATCCGTAGAGGGAATGTAAGGCGCACTTGAGTGCGTATCTTCTCTCAACTGCATGGCTGTATTGTAAACTTCTGCAGTTGAGAACGTCCTGCTTGCCAGTCTAGTATTAACGTCAGCCACTTGGCGATACACTTGGTGGTCGGGTTGTGCAAATTTTATGGTAAACATGGTGGCGGCCAAGCCAGAACCGTATGAGAATAGTAGGGCCCTTTTCCCATCTAGATCTGCTTAGATAGGCGGTAAAAATGATAGTGTGCTGTGAGATGAGGCTATGAGCAGATAAACTCTCTCACAAACTCATACCATGGTTTATACGCATGTGTGCATCAATGATGGAACATATGTATGTATACTGACACTATATACAAAACAAATTATGTAACACATTTCTCTACCACATATTGTTGTCATTAAAATCTTTCGTGAACCAGAGGAACAACGAAAGTCAAGGATCAGAAGTTGATAGCACAGATACAATGGGTTTAAACTGAAAGACACGTACGTTCTACCCGATCAATCTTGATTCAAAATAGAGAAGTAACGAAAAATATAATCATTTGAAGGACACGGGCGTCAACTGAAGGTGTACCCCCAGGTATACATTTAGCTCCCGTCGTGTGTAGGAGCGAAATCAGACCGAAATACAACGAAGCAGTATATGAATTGCCCGTTTCTTTAGCCAACAGTAGAGACGGCACTACTTTGTCCGCAAAAAGGCCCTTGCTCCGATCTAAAAAGACCTTCTCACACTCTCTGTCTAGGTATGTGGTCTCCGGATCTCGTGTACCGATGTCTTCACTGATTGGCTGACCTTCGATGAAGGCCGCCGAAGCGTCGCCCCTTAAAAGGTAATCGTTGTAGTGTATCCGAGCGAAAGCCTTGCGAACTAGTTTAGTGAAGGGGCTGTGGAACACGTAGTAATCTGGCGTGGCGATGTCGAAGACCTGCAACGCACACATGTGAAAGAATGAGGATGACATATGAGCACACACATGATATGAATAAACATCTTAAGCATTCACGATTGCCTATGAGACGCCGATGGCACCTTTCATTATAGTATCACAACACGTAAAACTTTTGTGATAGTGATCAGATAATGTAGATACGGTATGCCCTGGATGAATAGTACACACAGAGATGTATAGAAGCCAAAGGAGATAATATAGATACGGTGTGTGACTGATAAAAAAGAAACACAGAGGTATTGAATCCATGGGCTCGTGTGCTTGTATAGTCACAAGTACCATCGTTGCAGGTATAGTGGTCATCCGCCGCATCTATTCGTATCAAATGACATACAACGGCAGCACAACCCTGACTCACTGGTAGACACCAAACCTTCGCATAGTCCTTGATAAAACTCCACCGGATCCGCAAGGAAACTTCAATAGAACACAGCAATGGTAAACATATGCGCACACTATTACCCTTGTATCTGAATAAACATGATAAACGTTTACCTGGTTCTGCCTGCGCTCGTATTTCTGCACCAGCGATTGGTAACAGCGATCTACCGCTCGTAGATAGCACGTCATAGAAAGTCTGCTGTCCACCGTAGGGTACTCTATGAGTCGCACGCACCAATCACCAGTGTATATCGCATGAGTGAGGAATACAAACACCGACATGAACCTTCTAGTACCATGGTGACGCTCGCACGACCAAGTTTGTGCAAAGACAGTCATACAGAGCATGCCATCGGTAGGTCGTAGGCACATGTACCCTGGGATGATACAGCATCCCGGCCCACACATTCACTGCCGCATTTGATACGTGCACTTGATGTGAGATGGATTATGAGAACGTGTCTTGTTGTGTGCTGAGGAGGCCAGCGGGTATTTATCGGTGTTCAACATAGCCGCCGTTTCGGTATAACAAATATACGACTACATGGCCATAAACGCGTTGGAAGTAGGTCTACTTTTTCTGCTAGTATGTACGAATAGTGGCATGCGGAAAACACCATGGCGAGTCAATATTATGTATGTAGATTTCGTTCTGACATTCAAGGAAACAATGCAGGATCACACTGATATATATCTACATATGTACATATTCCCGTACCTACCCGATTTGAGCCCTGATATATGGAAGCCGTGTCCATGTATGAAGTTAAATGCACTCCGAGTTGAGTTCTAGATGGCAACTAACGCGCTGATTTTTGCAGTTCGATCTACACATAGGCTGTATTGCTAGAGAGGCATCCCTGCCCTACTGTACAGCCACAGTTCCGATACATTTACACACCACCCCAACCGTAGTCAGGCAAACACACAATACACACATGCATACCCGAGTTGAGTTCCGGTTTGTAGAAGTCGTACTGGTGTTCGAAGTAAGAAGCACGCGTAGGCTCAACTACCAGCGGGGCATCCCTGCCAATCAGCATAGCCACAGCTCCCGCGCCGCCGGTGGGCCGTGCGTTGCCTTCGGCGTAGACAGCAATATCACCACACACCCCAGAGCGTATCTGTGTGTGTATATCTGTAACCAAGGTGACAACACAAGTCATAGGTTCCTTCACTTACACAGATGTGTGCATCGACACGCATGGTTAATACATCAGCCACACAACAGGTATATTATCTGTGGCTGGATAACATTCTACACCAAAGCTACATACTCAGGAGGTAAACAATACATCAGCAACATAACAGGTATATTATCTGTAGCTGGATATCATTCTACACCAAAGCTACATACTGAGCATATAAACTACATCAGCCACACAACAGGTATATTATAGAGTAGTTGGATAACATTCTACAAGCTACATACTGAGCATATAAACTACATCAGCCACACAACAGGTATATTATAGTGTAGTTGGATAACATTCTACACCAAAGATACATACTGAGCAGATAAACAATACATCAGCCACACAGCAAGGTATATTATAGTGTAGTTGGATAACATTCTACACCAAAGCTACATACTGAGCAGATAAACAATACATCAGCCACACAACAGATATATTATAGTGTACCTGGATAACATTCTACACCGCTACATACTGAGCATATAAACTACATCAACCACACAACAGGTATATTATAGTGTAGTTGGATAACATTCTACATCAAAGCTACATACTGAGCAGGTAAGCAGTACATCAGCCACGCAACAGGTATATTATAGTGTACCTGAATAACATTCTACACCAAAGCTACATGCTGAGCAGGTAAACAATACATCAGCCACACAACAGGTATATTATAGTGTACCTGGATAACATTCTACACCAAAGCTACATTGGCACTAAGCAGGTATACAATGCTTCAGCCACACAACAGGTATATTATAGTGTACCTGGATAACATTCTACACCAAAGCTACATTGGCACTAAGCAGGTATACAATGCTTCAGCCACGGAACAGGTATATTAGTGTACCTGGATAACATTCCACAGATATGGCTAGCTGCCACCGCACGCGCTACTTTCCACCCACGCCATGCCATCGAACAGTGTCTATAAAGTGCCATTCGCACAAGCGTTGAGGTAGTTGCGGCCTTGGTTACTGAAGTTGGCACTAGTACTGAGTAGGTATACTGTATACCTATCATTTACAAAACAGGCCTACTTCGTACACACGATAAACACTCGTACAGCGATGCGATGTACCTGCCATCCCACACGCTACTCTCCACCCAGGCAATTGAATTCAATAGTGCTTGAGTACCACCATAACACGCATTGGAAGTGTCCAGACCTTCTACATCGAAGTTGCCGCTCTCCTGAAAGAGTTGCATCAGCACTGACTTGACAGATTTAGAGTGATCCAGCACTGTTTCTGTCCCAACCTACTACGTATGGTACAGAGCATGGGTGAGAAG